TCACACATTGTTTCTGTAACAATGGTAGCAGTGGACATAGTGGACACTGTTTCTGTAACAAGTGATGGATGGTTGGACACAGTCTCACATTGTTTCTGTAACAATGGTAGCAGTGGACATAGTGGACACTAAGTGATGGATGGTTGGACACAGTCTCACATTGTTTCTGTAACAATGGTAGCAGTGGACATAGTGGACACTAAGTGATGGATGGTTGGACACAGTCACACATTGTTTCTGTAACAATGGTAGCAGTGGACATAGTGGACACTAATGATGGATGGTTGGACACAGTCACACATTGTTTCTGTAACAATGGTAGCAGTGGACATAGTGGACACTAAGTGATGGATGGTTGGACACAGACACATTGTTTCTGTAACAATGGTAGCAGTGGACATAGTGGACACTAGTGATGGATGGTTAGACACAGTCTCACATTGTTTCTGTAACAATGGTAGCAGTGGACATAGTGGACACTAGTGATGTAACAGTCTCACATTGTGTCTGTAACAATGGTAGCAGTGGACATAGTGGACACTAAGTGATGGATGGTTAGACACAGTCTCACATTGTTTCTGTAACAATGGTAGCAGTGGACATAGTGGACACTAGTGATGGATGGTTGGACAGTCACACATTGTTTCTGTAACAATGGTAGTAGTTGACTAGTCATAAACTGTACTATTTCTGTAAGAGGAGACAATTGTGATGAACAGACACTCACATTTTCTGTAACAGAACACAGTAGTGATGAGGGTTATACTCTTTGAGAAGAAATGATGTATCATAATGTTTTTGAATGGGTTATTTCAGGCATCTTTTGAAACATTTTTGATGATGTGTCTGATAAGGGCTTCTTGCACAATTATGGAATGTTGCTATGTTAATGCTAAACTCACCAAGACGTGGACAGAATATTTCTGTGATCATAGCAGCACTTTTGTACAGTTACTGTTTATTCTAAGCAAAGAGCATCCAGACATGTATCAGACTGAATTCTATTGAACTATATGAAAGGTGCTGTACACCATTGGTAAGCTTACTTTCAAAATATTTTCTTCAAATATTGACTCATTGTTGTGTGTAGATTCCACCTGTAAAAGGGTTAAATCATCCCAATGACAAGTGGCACACAGGGAGACTGTAGAAGTTAGGAGATGAGTTGAGCACTTTTTGAATGGGATGGTGCAGCTGGAGATGAATACGTTTAATGGGGAATGAAATCGTGGGTAGGAAATATGTGTACAAGGACCACCCAAACCTCTTTCACTTCCTGCGTGCTCTGACACTTACTAAAACTCCTTTCTGCTCTGACTGGGATAGGTGGTAGATGGTTAGCCTCACCTGATAACAATAGGTTTCTTTTCCAACATGGAAAGCATAAGATGTGGCAGATTCACGTTGAGAATTATGAATGCGTCTGGTGTGCCGTTCAGTCCTATTGCTAGAATCATCTTATGACCTAAGTTCTTGGCGTAAGTTTCTGGTAAGAGGCTCTCTTCCCTCAGCTAGAATTGACTTATTATACAGGCTGGTAGGTGTGTATCCCCACTCTCTCACCTCGATGTTGGCACCTGATGTAGGTGGTGCTGAGATCGGATACTGACACAAACCAGATGGTGACTGGACCAGTGGAGTCCATGTAGAGCAGCTAGGGTTTTTATGTTCTTGATACAAGAGGAAGTGTTAATCTAATTACTGCCCTGTAGTAGGGATGTTTTCTCCATACAACAGACATTCAGGAGAAAATTGTCTTTCTTCCGCTGCTCTCATCTTCATGGTACTGGCGGTTATTGGAGCAATTATTTTGGGCTTGTACAAGTGCTCACTGGGTTAACATCAAATCAACCTTATGTACGACACTTCCTTCCCAATGTACCATAGACTGTAAAAACAATGGTTGAATCCTGCATTTTATTTCTGATGCTAAACATAACATAAGAAATTATGTTGTCTGGAAAAATATGAATATATATAATAGATGTGTCACACTAGGAATAAATAATAATAATTTAATCTTTTCATTCTAATTAGTGTTAACATCAATCATACTTTGGGAACAAATTCAAACCAATTATTGAAATTTGGAACAAATCTGCAATATAGCACCAGCGGTAATAAGGCATGAAACCACTTTTACATGAGCAATACTTGGCAAGCAATGACCCCTAAAAGCTACCAAGTGACCTTTTTAATGCCGTGTGTTTCCGATTCGTGTTTAATTAGCTGGACCATCCCTTTGTGAATGGCCACAGCAACAGGATAACCACAACACAAACACAGAAAGCACTGTCTCCTTGCAGAGACAACACCCACAATATATATAAGTGGACATTGTTGCTACTTTACTTTGATGACACTGGCATTTTGAGGGCAAGTAATGAGGATGAATACCTAGGCATTTTCAACAAACACCTTGCAAAGGTCAATAATAACTAGAGAGTTCATACTTAAAACCTTTGAAATCCTGCTGGTCTGCTAGCCTGAGTCTACAAAGTTTTGCTGATGATAGGTAAAAATCAAGTTATGCTAGCTTCATGTATATTTATGCTAGTTTTCATTGTTAATCATCTTGTTTATCAGCCATTGTCTTTGTTAGCCCTCATGTGCCCTATATACTCCCTGCTGTATTCATTCACCACCTCATGCTTGAAAACGGTATAAGTATCTATACTGAAACGGCGCTATTGTACAATAAAGAAGTTGACTTGCTATTCCTGATGCTAGTCCTCATTGACTCAACCAGTTCCGGAACCGATTCTCAAAGCTTCAATATGTCTGCAAGCTGGAATGAGTACATTTTTACAAAAAATATCTTTGTTTCATTTTGTGGAGGACTTAGTTTCAAGATCTGTTTCGGCTTCCACTAGTCTTCTATTTGTCCTTTTGGCTAGTTTACAAAAAGTTAATTTCTAAGGCTGAACTTAATGTACCTCTGTGTACCTTTCTGTCACAACATGGCTAGAATATTGCTAATAGTGGCGTAAAAATCATCTCACTCACTCAGTGCCGCCATATAGCTGGAATATTGCTGAGTGCAGCGTAAAACTAAACTCACTCACTCACTCAGTCACCACTCTAGATCCATCTGAGTGAGTATGGTTTTACATAACTTTTAGCAATACTCCAGCAATATCACGGCGGGGGACACCAGAAATGGGCTTAACACATTGTACGCATGTGGAGAATCGAACCCGGGTCCTCGGCATGAGGGATCACTTTAACCACTGGGCTACCCCACCTCCCCTAGATCCATCTGCTTTATGAAATCTCCTTATCTGTGTGTCAATCGCTAGTTAGACATCACATGTGTGTAATGCTACACTGCTATGCTGCTTATGCATCACATGTCTTATGGAAACAGTATTAACCCGGATTTTGATGAATGCTGAAATCATTTTAGAAATTGGGTAATGGAATTTGAAATGTGTTTTTGAATAAAAGAAATTCAGTGTTAAATGCAAGTCATGCTCCAAAGTTAACAGTATATGGTTACATTTGATATGAATAAAGTGAAGCATGGGTATTTTTGTGGCTACGATGATTTTCTTGGTCTGTGAAATGCTGCACAGCATGGTAAATGCCTTGTTAGGAGTCGTGTGGTATTCTCGCGTATGTGGCAATTCATGGACAATGAAACCCAGTGACATACTTCCTTCATTGCCTCTAAATCATTTCAGTCAGTCTGAAATTCCTAACGAAGAAAGTACCTCTTAATCTTTCCTCAAGACTACATGCATTCCAAAGGAAAGAAACACAAATGACTCCAGAACTAAATTCTCCTCCATCCAAACATTAGGGACCACTAAAACATAATTTGACAGAAGCATGTTATGTGGATGCCATTGATTCTGTAGGAATTTTTCACTGGTTTCTTGTGTCATTATAAAGAGAAAAACAGAAGTAAAAGATCTCTTTTGGAAACATTTGAGCATGATTGGGACATTTTCAAGGATTGCTTTGAAATGTATCTGTCGTCACTCAAGAAAGGCAATACTACACAATGTTAAAAATTATGATGTTGTAATTAAATTCTTCTTTGAGGTTCATTCATGAAATCTTTCAAAACTGAAATATTTAACTTGTATTTTCAGATTATATTTCAGAACTCATGGACTACCAAAATGATAAAAACAGATTTGACCGAATTTAGTAGTCGCAGGCATGAGATCGTAACGTGACATTAAAGCAAAATTATGATGTCAAAATAAAACTAATAGCTTTCCCATACATTGAAGGAGGTCTGCCATATGGAGTCTTTCGAAATCATTGAAGAAAGCTGAAAAGTCTTTCACTGAGGCTGTATGATGATGTAAAGGATTGTTTCTTGAATGTTGTAGACTGAATAGGATTTTTTATATAATTTTCAGAATTCTATATATTTTTTTATTTCAGTTCATTTTGTATGTCTTGTTTCAGAATGCATTCGTCTTCAGTGTTATCAAAAAACTAAATTATGAAAATTAAATGCGATGCAAGGATAATTCGTCATGTTTATTTTTGAAATTCAGAAGAATGTCATGTAAGAAACTAGACCAGCAATTTTCTTATTAAAGAACAGATTAAATTGTTCATCGGAACATTCAAATTCTGTTTCCTGTAAATGGTATGGGCGGTGGGGTAGCCTAGTGGTTAAAGCGTCCGCTCGTCACGCCGAAGACCCGGGTTCAATTCCCCACATGGGCACAATGTGTTAAGCCCATTTCTGGTGTCCCCCACCGTGATATTGCTGGAATATTGCTAAAAGCGGCGTAAAACTAAACTCAGTCAGTCAGTCAGTGTAAATGGTATTATTTCCAGGAACATAGCTTAACAAACATACATGTAGTTAGCCTCATGTTCGATTCAGTGAGTGCTTTTGACAAGATTTCAATATGTGCATGACAAATTTCATTGATATGTCATATGAAAACATCATGCATAGAATTTGTTTCAGCTTTTCTTATGTGTACAATAATCATGAAATGTTTTATTGACCAAACTGGGCTGTTTTTTAGTTGACGGTCAGTGGAGTGAATGGGCATCCTGGTCTGATTGTACACACGATTGCTTACGCCACCGACGAAGAAAATGTGATAACCCAACCCCAGCCAATGGTGGTGCATATTGCAAAGGAAACGGTTTAGAGAGTGAAATATGTACAGGAGACGATTGTCGAGGAGGTAGCTCATTGGTTAATTACCTCACTTAGTGTGTTGTGTAGGGATGCTTAGAAACCGTAACATTGGTTCCCCAGAATGCACTATCTACCGTTGCGCAGTTAAACCTTTTGCATGATGTTCTGTTCAGTATTGAGAGTTACATTGATACAGTTGAACTGCATGGTATTCTTCATTCAAATAATCATCTGCACTGGTCACGTTGAACAGTTTCTTCTTCTGAATTTCTCTGGCATGATCTAGTTGACTCTCTGCACCACTTGTCAATACTTCTTATACAACAGTCATCTTTCTTCAGCTTTAGCTGTCTCTAGAGCTCTCTTGACTTGGTTAGTGACATGTCATGTATATTTAGATGTTCTTGTTCAGATCTCTGGATGCATTTGATTATGAGTCTAGTTGCCTGTTTTCTATGATAATTAGTTGCATTTGTTAATTAAGTGCACATGCTTATTGTAAGGATGTTATATTTGCCAATTGTTTCTATCAGTTTCAATGTTTTGTTAAAAGAATAAGTTCATGTCAGGTAACATTTCTATGTTAATTTTAATGGCAGAAAATAATACATTATGTGTAATGTTATAATTACTGATTCTTCAGCTAAACGTTATAATATCATTCATATTTGTGGCAAATAAGGATGTCTGAATAAGGAATACTGGTCTTCAATATAAGTGTATTACCTTTATTCAAGATAATTATGTTTTGAAGCTGTGCTAGTTTGTATGGTTCAGTACTCATATTTTCTGTTACGCCAGAACATATTTACCTGTGGCGACATGGAGCAAGGATTGTATTTTTTCAATTTAGAGTATTGTTAATTGTGATGATGATCAGACATTAAACTGAATCTATTAGAAACTATTAATATTATGCTTTCCTTCTGACAGAGAACTATTGTTTGAGCAAACAGATAAAAACATTAATCTTTTCTGCATTTCTTTGAAGTTTGTTTAATGTTCCATTCATAAGTGCTAGAATGTCATATGCTGAATGTAGTAGTGTAGATTTAAAGACATGGTGGCACATCACACTTGCCCTAAAGCAATAGACAAGTTGTAAAATGTAAATATAATTATCTTCTTTGACATGGAGCTGCATATCATTCCATGCTATATGTTTAATAATTAGTTGTGGATTGAGGATAATGAGACAGGACAGATAATACAAGATGGTACCATCAGACGTAACATTGCTCAAGAATTATTTTTTTAGGTTTATTGTGATAAATTTCAGTACAAGACTTGCTGAGTTTCTCATTTATTCTTTCATCAGTGAAATCTTTTACGATTCATCAATGAATACACATTTCAAGTTTGAAGTGTATAAGTTTCCTCGCTGTGAGATTCCTATTCTAGTGACTACTATTCCACAAAGATTTCTTTTCTTCATTATCACTATGCTAACTGCCATATTTTAGGATGCTGTAGGATAGCCTAGTGGTAACGTTTGCTTGTCACCCCAAAGACCCAGGTTCTGTTCCTCCCATGGGTGCTATGCGTGAAGCCCATTTCTCGAGACCATTTTGTGATATTGCTAGAATGTTGTTAAAAGCGGCATAAAATTTTACTTGCTTATGGCACCACGATGCCATTGTATACAAATTTAGTCTCCCATTTGTTAAGAACCTCATTGGCAAGAGGATGTTTGGTAGGAACACCTGTGTCAGTTTAACAGATTATATATTTAAAGTTTCCGTTCCTGGAAGGGAATTATGTCTTTACTGACATAGCTAAAGTGCTCCTCAACCTGCTCTGTGCGTGAGCTGTTTCACACAGTGTAATGGATTGTGAAAAAGAATGTCCTTATGTGTGGAGATCTCGTAGGTGTCATTTATCTCACAGAAGACACTGTCGCGACCATAAAATTCTCTCCCTGTTGTGGCGACACTTGAAACAATGTGGATAATTTCACATTCATCTTCGCCATTTTTTTTTTCAAGTAGGAAAGCTTAGGTTTCTCTACAGTAGGTTTAGCCCATTGTTAATGTGAGAAGTATACTTGTCGAGACTCTCATTGTAAGTGTTGAATGTCAGGGAGCGTGAAATCTTATATCTTTACATTCACAGAAGCAAATGTTTTATAACATACTAGGCCGTATTGGTCCTCTCTTTTTACCTGTTCAGTAATGCAATATAAATGTAACAATCAAGTCATCTGGACCCGTGTTAATGGAGATGCATGTCTTTTCACACTATGCATACCAAGCTTGCTGCCACACTTTATCTGTGAATGTTAAGAATGTCTGGCCTCATTCATATATATTCATGAATCCTTCAGGTAAACCGTGTATTGTGCAAAGGAAAATAAAATCGTCATTTAAAATGTGATATGTAAGAGATAGCGATAAAATCCTATCCATATTCATTAGTTTCAGCTATGCTGTTACGTAACAAATAATGCTATATGCTGAGGTAATTATATTTTTTTAGTGGGGGGATAAAAATACCTGCATTAGACTTTTGAAAATATACTAGAACATTCAAATTGGTTAAATTTTTTTTGAGGATTGAAAAAAGTATGCCCACAAGATATATCAGAAAATATGACGTAGGTAATGTTCAGTTGATGTGAAGTCTTATCTGACACTCATGTCTCCTATAGAGATAGTGTATTTTATTACCTTAATGTCAGTTGGGGCTTGATCTTGAATCTTGACTCTTTTGCATCTATCTACACTCAAGTGGTCATGCTATCTGTCTTGAAATGCCTGTCAGTGCACACACTGTGTTCATGTATCAGGTGCTGTACGCTGCTGGATGAATTCATATCACGCTTACGTCAAACAGGACTACAGTCAGCCGAGTGCGCGATAAACGCTCCATATTCCCCATCAAGGCACCCTCTGGAGTGTTTTACAAATTACTCTCATTTTTATTGGCATTTTAATGAAATGCTTCAAATGCTTTATCTTCATGGGTAGAGAATGGCATAGCCTGCTGGGATCAGGTGCTTGGGTGTCCTGATACATTTGCAGTTTTTTTTTGAAGTTTGTGTTGTCAACTGAACAAAACTAATAGGTAATTTTGAAATATATTTACATGTGGACTATGACATTGTGTGTCTTCACTACGAAAAAACCCTCCTAATATTAATGATCCCATAAATTGTTTTTGAGTGTAAAACCATGGATGGGTTTAGACAGTAAAGATTTGTTTTTAGGTCTGGAGTTGAGAATTATATTGTTATTGCGGATGGCTGTGCACTAGGTTTGCACAAGGTAATGCTGGGTGAGGCCCTCCTTGTTGTCGACGGCAACGTTAGGCGCTGTTATCTGTGGCTTGGCAAGACACATGATAAAGTGGTATTCCACTGCAGGATACACCAAGTCACCTGTCTACTTGATTGTACTGATCTCACTCAATCCTTGCACAATCCTTATACGCAGAAATTTACAATTAGTTGAACCAGCTGTATCGGAGGAAACGCCATAAGGCGCCCCTTTGAAAGCCCGCTGTTTAAGATTGTTTGAGAAGTGTTTTAACAAACCTTGAAATTACTGTATGTGGTCCAGTATGCAGCATATGGGGCAAGTGAGTTAGTTCAAAATTGCCTCTGTTCACCCAGCAGAAAGTGGGTACCCGGTGGGATAAGTCATGTAACTATTATAGGGTTATCCAGGGTGATAATAAGCAGATTATAATTTCAAGACCTACACTTTAAGCAACCGCAATGGTTGGAGAATAGCGCATAACACATACACTTATTATTATCATTATTATTACTAAATGTATTTTTTTCATCTCATAAGTAATATTAATGACTATATGTTAATACTGAAACATTATCATGCAGGTTTTTCAGAATGTGAGATATGAGGCTTTTTATGTTTGGTATTATATATTTTTTAAACAAAATTTTCAAGGGACTATCAATGGATTTTGTTCCCTTAAGGAAGGCTGTTTGGGCAAGAAAACATGGAGGAAATTCATAGTAATTTTCATCATTGTGAAGGGATAATAAAGCAAGTTTCACTAATCTTTATGGCCTAAAACAATTTTAACTGATAGTGAAAATACCTTAAGTTTTACCTATTACCATTATTTAATGAAGCACTTGTTCTTCATGGTTTTGGGGCAGTGGGGTAGCCTGGTGGTTAAAGCATCTATGTATGAAGCCCATTTCTGGTGTCCCTCCCCGTGATATTGCTGGAATATTGCTAAAAACGGTGTAACATCATACTCACTCACTCAGTCTTCATGTTTTTACCAGTGATGAAGTTCTTGGAGATGTTGTTTAGGTTTCATGCAGTTTGTGGTGTTTTTTTTGTTTTCTCAGTAAAATAAGAAGTAAAACATCTGTCTACCATCACAATCTTTAAAAGTCACAACGGATCCTCCAGCCAAAGATACTACATGACCTGTTTCACTGACAGTTATCATAGTTATCGAGTTGCTTTCTTGCAAAAGGAGTTGTATCTCCCATTAAAAGGCACTTATTTCATTATGTACGTTTCCAAAGAACATTTTAGCGCCTGGACTCCAGTCTTATCTTGGAACAACTGTTGTAAAGATGTGTCACGAATTGCTGATTGTTTTCTCTGAATTGAGATCTGTCTACTCATAAGACAGATCTATAAGGTGTTTATTTATTTGTCTATATCCTTCATCTAATTCTGTCATTCTGCTGAACACATCATAGTCAGGTTTCATACAAAGGCTGCTTCTCTTCCAGCTCGCACCTTCTGTTTCTAGCATTATGTGTGGATGCCCAGCTTCCAAGCTTGTCAATGAATCGTTTATATTAGGACAAAAAAGCCATCTTTTTTCCTGCCTCCTTAGTTCAAGTTTAAGTTTACTTTTCCCCTTACGGAGATCAGACACGGAAATAGAACAATAAGAGTATTGTTTTCAGCTGGGAAGTTAAGATGTGGAGGATGACTCGGATAGAACAACCTGAATCGTTGGGGCTTGCCAGTGTGTTGCGAAATGGGGAGGGAGGGGCTTAAAGGGGTGCTGAGTGAGTGAGTGAAGTTGTTTTTCCATACTATGAACTATGTATAT